AACTTTGCAGCCCTGGAGCTTAAGGAGAGGATGGAAGGGCCAGTGAACTGTAAAATATCTAAGTTATGTAAAATTAAAAATGCATTGGAAACTTCAGATTGATGACTGCATTTGCTATTTCCTGTGGGCAGGGCTTAGTGCTTCAAACTTGCATGAGCAAAGCAGCTTGAGTGTGTATTTTGTGAAAACAGAGCACAGCGTTCAGCCTGTTTGGGTGGAGCACTTGCACAAATGAGCACATGCTCCAGGACAGGCTGTTAGCATTGTGTAAATCTGTACACCGTGCAGAGAGACATCTTCAGAGCAGGAGTAGGATGACTGCATGCATCTTGTGGCTAACATGTGCATCCCAGGCATAGGTGGCTGGAGACATCCCTTTCTCCCATGAACACTGGTGCTTGGTCCTTTCGCTGCCATGTGGGGCTTTGGAAGGACGATGCTGTGCAGGTTGGATGAGTGCCTTGCAGCAGGTTGTTGCCAGGTGTGAGTTTGGGGTGGATCATTTATTTACCAAAAGGAAAAAGTATTCTTAGGTCAATCTAATCTGTGATTTTCCCCCAAATCCAGGGTCCAGACTCAGCCTGTCCTTCCTCCTGCTTTGGAATAAAACAGCTTTTCAGAAATTGGATGTTCTTGCTACAGTTTCAAAAACCAAACTCCTATGCTTTAGCTTTCACCTTTTCCATTTTTACTGGCTAAGACTCTTTGCAGCATTGGGTTGGCCACCTCGACCACAGGGTGGGCAATGCGGGAGGAGGGAGAGGGCAGTTGAGACAACACTTCTAGGCCTTGTTCCTTGCCCATGGACAGCCCAGGCAGGCACACCCTGATCCTTCTCCAGGCCTCTCTTCTGGCACCTGGGGAGGACAGGAGGGATGCAAACAAGGCCAGAAGCTGGCAGGGCAGGTTTCTCCCGCACCAGCAGGAGTATCCCCATCCACATGGGCCAAGCAGCAGCAGGGAATGCCCAGCCAGCGCTGGCAACACGCAGTGGTCTGCAGTGGGTTTGCTCTCCACTGAACGTCCCCTGGCTTTTCCAACCTCACACTGTCCTAAGCCACAGGCAGCTGCCGAGACCTTCCTGGGCTGTGGGGAAGATGGGAACTACATGAGTGGAGCCACCCAGGTAGATGTGGGTCAACATTAAATGCAGCCAACACGAAATGCTGTTTGGATTCAAGGTTGTCAGAAAGGCTTGTTTCCACCAGAATACCAGAATGGACCAGTTCCTGATGGTGTCTGGTTGTGTTCTGCAAGGATTTCTGAGATTTTTATTTGCTTTTCGCATAGGATGAGTATAAATATCCAAATCTGAGTCTGAGCGAATGCTCCTGGGATGGAAGCAAAGTTTTCCATCAGTTTGGATTAGGATATGCTTGGGCAGCTGTACGGAAGAGCAACATGACCTTGGAGAAACCCAGCAGAAAGTACCATCTGTTTCCTCAGTGAGTGCAGCTCTGCTGGTGTTGAGCTCCATTTTTCTCCAGCCAACCTTCAGTTGGTGGAGTTTACTCGAGCAAGGCAGAGTGGAGGAAAATCTGAGAATGAGCTGCAGGCCTTGACCTCTGCTAGGTAAAGAAGACTCATCAGGGCTGCAAACCCCCATCTTTTAGGTGCTCTGTGCACCAGGGCAAGGTATGTGCACAGAGGCAATTGCAAAGATGGATGTCTCTGGTACTGTTCCCATCCTGCAGGAAGGGTATGAAATGAAGAAGCTGCTTGAATAGTGCGTCGGAGGATTTGGTGAGAGCCAGGGCAGTACCCAGTGTTATGACAGTGAGATGCTGTCAGGGCTTCCTTTCCTTCCAGGGCTTCCCATGCTTTGTATCCTGCCCTGCACCTTTCTCTTGGTGAGGCAGTGGCTCAGATGCCTGCTAGCTGAGACCAGCCAGGGCTTGGGTGACCAGTATCCAAGCAGAATGGAATTTACTGTCCTGCTAGAAAAGGGTGATGTGACCATGGCATGTACTCTCTGATCTCCTCTCTCACCTAGGCGCTCAACAGCTTTGTGCTGGTGGTGACATCGGAAGGACTGATATTTTACTCCTCACATACGATTCAGGACTATCTGGGATTTCATCAGGTTGGTGGCCACCTCTTACTTGCTGTGGTGGGTTTGCAGAGTGGATTTTTTCCTTGGTGGTGGAGAATAGCCCCAAGTTCCCTGCAGGGAGGAAGCTCTGCAGGGGTCACAGGGTGTTGAGGGGGCTGCGTGGGGCTTTTCCTTGGTCTTATGAATTTGGACATCACGGTGCCAGTTGTGGTCACTGGGAGGTGTTAAAGCAACTTCACTAGCACACAGATGCTTTCCACCTGAAGCTGAGAAAACTCAATAACAACTAAGTGTTATTAAGCAGGTATTCTTTATTGCAGCATGGGGGATAGCTCCTTCCATACGTGCGCACCCAAGTGTTAGGATTCTTGCCTTATATTTACAGCTTTCATGTTTATTCATTTCATTTTGAAGAAAAGGTTGGGTTATTCTAATTATTTCCAGGAATTCATTAACATAAGTTCCTCCCATAGTCCCACCTCAGTCTGCCCAAGTTAGGCCTCTGTCAGGGGTCCTTGGTGGTCGTTGGGGATGAAGGTCCGAATCTTCCTCATGGTTGAACTTTTTAACTTGTCCTGTGGCGCATGCCCTGTACCATCCTGGGTCTTTTCCAATTCACAGAACCAGCTGTTGCTAGTGTCCCTCCCTATCTCTCCTGCTTAGTCTTTTGTGTTCCTTGAGCCCCACAGTCTAATTAGAGGATTCCACCTGGTGTCCTTTGCTTGGCGGATTCTGCTTCATTTTTGTCTTTAAAGTGTTAGCTAGTCCACAATGGATGTATGCATAATGGTTAGTACAAATCAGCCTCCCTCCCTATCTCTAAAGGTTGGTCAGCAGTTCTTTTCTAAAGGCTAGTTTTCTAAAGGCTAGTTAGCCATTCTTTATTACACACCAGCCACGTTGACAGGCTACCAGTTTCAAGGCCCCATTGTGTAAGGCCATGGTGAGCTGTCTGATGTTCCCTGCCCCATTTGCCTTTGGGCACTTGCTCCTCTGGGTGACCTCTGGTAAATACCATAAAGCTCCAATGCTTTGTGGCTATCTGGGCACCCAGGTAATCTGGAAGGCACCAGGTCAGATTTATGGGGAAGTCGGACTTAGCTACAATACTTCGATTACTGTGTTTTGGTGTTGCTCCCACACAGCTGACTTTCCCCAACATCTGGGGTAGATGAGGACTCTCCACCTGGGCAGAAGTAGCAAGTCCCAGACCAGGTGCCTTGTCCTCTTGGGAACGGTACAGGGATGGGATGCTGTTTTGTTCCCAAACCCATGTTTTCATCTCATCCTGTAAGTCAGCACTAGGATTTTGAAGGACACCATGTTATGGGGATGAGTGTGTCAGAGGGGAGCTGTATTGCTGATGCTAGTGACTCTTTAAGATAGCGGAAGGTCTGGCCCAACATGGGCAAGGGGTCCTTAGAGCCAGATGTGCCGTCTGTCCCACCAGCATCAGCTCTAGTGGAAGGTGTCCAACCTCATTCAGCCAGGGACCTAGCTGAGCACCAAGGGAATTGGATAAGATATGGCCAGTTGGAGCTGTGACAGGCTGTTTCCAGGTGGGACATGAAAAGTGGCACCTGGAGACAGGCTGCAGAGCTCATGCGTTGCTTTTTTTCCTCTAG